CTTGTGCAATGGAGAGTGCTATGCGCATTTGGAATTTGAAATCCTATAAAAAAACTTATGCCACTTGAAAACTGAGGGGTGAAATCCCGTGGGCTTTGTCATAAATTCTATCCTAATTCTACTATGTGAAAAAAAAAGTTGGGACAATGATTTTTAAAGAATTCGTTTTTCACGTTGCTTCGAAATCAAAAAGTTTGCTTTAGTCCAGTAGTTTTTCGGTTCAATCAAAATCAGGGGTGGGCGAGTTTTCAGAAAATTTTTGAAAATTTAATTAACCTTTTTTTAGGTGTTTTTATAAATTATAAAAAAGCAGCCCAAAAAGACATGTTTAGATCGGCTAGTCTTAAGTATTCTTGACACTGATCTACAGCATGTCTTCTAATCTGGAACTAGACTTTTTTTCCTGTAAACAATTTCTCACGTGTACAATAGTAAGTAGCACAGTAAAAACTTGTAAAGTTTCTCCATTAGTGAACCGTAGCAACTTCGAGACTTCCCCCGTGGCCTAAAATAAACGTTGTTGCCTATATACCCTGAGGACGGGTTCTGGGGAAAACTTTTTCTTACAAGACATTAAACTTGCTGTAGTATTGAACATTAATAGCTTCCAAGCTCCCTCCCACTTCGCCCGGAGGTAACGCGGTTGCTTTTGTGTAAGGTCTGAGGTTTGATTCCCGGCAGGACCTTATTTTTCAGGATATTTGAAATTGAACATTTTTTCGGTAAAAATTGAATCGTTGGACTTTCGTTTGTCTGCTCAAGTTTTGTCGTCTTAAGTGCCACATGATGGAGTTTTTTTTAAATTGTAAGCAAACATCATAGTAATTGTAAGTGTTGTTCATTGTATTTTCAGGGTTAACTTGAAATTTTCTAAATTTTTTATAATTTTTTTTTTCGGCTCAACTGATGTCTTCTCAAAAATTTGAGCTTTGTACGTTTTTTTGTGCATGTTTGCGCTTTGTACGTTTTTTTCTTTAGCTAACTTAAGTTCAGATGTTTTTTGTGGCATGATTTTTTAAATTTCTTGTTTGATAAAAATCGGTTTCATGAAAATAATGGGATTGGGTTTTCAGTTTTTTTTGAGACGGTTTTGAATTTTTTAATTTTTTTTGACTTCTTGCAAACTTTTTTGTTTTTCAAAAACTACTTCTTTTTTTAAAAAAAATTATAAAAGGACGTACGTCTCCTGTGTTTCTGAATAACCCTCTAATATCTTTTTACTTTACCGCACTGTCTACATCCTTGAAAAAAGTCTGTGCGGTGAATATTTGAGCAATATTTTCAAATTCTTGTCGTTTTCTCAAAAAATATCCTCGCAAATCTTAGATGTTGGCTGCATTGGATATATTGACCTGCGGATAGCTCGACTGCATAATCCGGTGCGAGCATTTTTACACAAGTTATGGGCTTCGGAATAGTCAATTATTTGATTTTTATCGATTTTTCAATCTTTTGAGCTATCTGGAAAACTACCCTCTTAGATCTGAGATCAGTTTCAATGGAGATATAGGGTCGTGAACGCTCCGCATACGCGACAACGCCAATTTTCTTACATAAAAAATATGCCCCTGGGATAAGTCCAATTTTCGATTTTTTGACCGTTTTTGAAACTTGCCTTCCGAAAAGTCATTTTTTTTACTATTTAAAACTATTTGATTTCATCAAAAATTCACCTCCACAATCTGAGTTTTGAGCGCTATCGAAATAACAGGTTGTGTTAATCTTTTCTGCATAAGCGGGCACGCTCAATTTTTTTTACACAAAAAGCTTCATTTCTCGGAAAAGTCAAGTTTTTTGATTTGATGACAGTTTTCTGCAGTCTTTTTGACTTTTCTCGATAATTATCCTACCAAACCTGATCTCAAGGGTTTGATAGAAACAACATGTTGATGAAATCCTTCATTTATAGGTAACTGCGTCAATTTTTGAATAGAAAAAGCTAAATCCTTAAAAATGTCCAAGTTTTGAAGTATTGAACGTTTTTTGAAACTTTGAATTTTCTCGAAAACTGCCCCGCCAAATCTTAGGTTATGTGTTCAATCGAGCAAGCCTGCTTTGGGAATATTCTTCATAAGCGACCTCGACCTACTTCTTGCAGAAAGAATAAGTTATGGATTTCGGAAAGTCAATTTTTGAACTTTGACTGTTTTTTATAAACTTTTTGACTTTTCTTAAAATGTACCCTATCAATTATGAGATGAAGGGTTCAATCGAAGGAACCCATTAAAAAAACTGTACTTGCAAGGTGGCCCTTCCTCAGTTTTTTGAAAGACAAATATTATGTTGGAAGTTTTCAAGTTCTCAAAAATGTTCAGTTTTTTTTTAAATGGTTACACTGATTCCAAATGAAATGGGTAATTTCAAAAATGAAGCTTTGCTTAAAACCTTAGTTATTTCAACTAAGGTTTTGGGCAAAGCTTAGTTTTGAAATTACGCATTTCATTTGGCATCAGTGTAAATATTTTAAAAAACTCAAACACGGACGTCTAGCTTTAGCTGGGCCACTAGTTATCTTATCGAGATACGAAAGTTTTGGTTCACCTGGTTTTTCATTTTTTTCTAGTTGTTCTTTTTTGTGTATGTGTTGTGGATTGATTCCAAACCGCGACTCAATAGTTTTTAATTCGATACTTACTACACTTTTTATTGTACGAATTTTCTTGATGTAGCCAAAATCTGCTGAAAAAAACTACGGGAAACGAAAGTTTGTTTCCACTCTTCGAGTGGTCAGATCAAATAGTTACAGTTTCGATATCAAGATATTTTGAAAAAGCGGGAAGGAACTCGACAATAGAACAGGCATTTTAAAGCTTGCTAACTATTTTAATATATTTTTGCTAGTTAAAGTTAAAAAAAAAACCAGTAGCAAGTTTGAAAAAACCAGGTTCAAAAAAAAAACTTCTTATTGGAAACTTCTTATTTTGTAAATTTCATTGAGAAGATCAGCTATCTCGGAATTCCTTTAACACGCAAATATATGATGATTTACCTGTTATTTTTGTTAGTCTTTGTAATTCTATTTATTATTTTTGATATGGATATTAATTTGAGCCCAGGAACAATTGTTTGGGTTGAGCTCAAGGGTTTGGAGAAATACAACAGCCAAGAAAATTCTACAAACGAAAACAGGCAAAAAAGGGGCAGGTCTAGCTTTGTTCTTCGGAACTCATGAAGGCGCTTTGGCGAAATAGTCCGAAATATATGCCTGGTAGGATGAAAACTTGTCAAGTTTTCTAAAGACCCAAACATCCTAAATGCGCTCCGAGAAGTTGAAAATGTTAATTTAGGCGAAGAAACGAATCAAGTTGTGGATGAAAATAAAAAAGAAGTAAAGTAGTTTTATGCGATGAACCGACTGCTAAGCAGATAAAGTCGGAAAGTTTTTTTAATTCTAATTGTGTCTTTCATCGATGGAAAGAAGTATCCTTTTTTGCAAGCAATGAAACGTGGCAGTTTGTATGGACTGTTTTGCAAAGACAATTCAGCCAATTTGAAATTCAGACAATTTAGCCAAAAATATACAGACAATTCAGCCAGTTTTACATAACGCCAGATTCGAAAAAAAATCGGAATTGGAGTTATTTCTCGGTTTAAGGTCGCCGGTGGGCGCGCTACGTCAAATGAATCTGAGAGATCTTTTTAGTGGCATTAAAAAGGTTGGAAATTACTATTTGAAAAATTACCTGTTGGAATTTGAAAATTGAAGAGATCAAAAATTAATCTCAAAAAATTTAATTTTATAAGTTGACAGAAGATATAGAAAACAGATAGGAGATTTTAAAATTAAAAATATTGTTGTCCGAAAGATTGCAATTGCAATTCGAAATACTGGAAAAAATTCGAAAATTTCGTTATTTAGTCTCATAGCGGCATTTTGCGACCTTAGAAGCTGGGACCAAAAAATGCATTTCGAAGCCGATTGTTTTTGGTAATTTTAGGAAACAAGAACTGAAGTTTCGATTCAAACTATTTCCATCATTTGGTTCATTAACAAAACAGCCGAATTGGATGACTCGGGGAAAAATTGTTGAGGCAGTGTTCATTGCGTTAGAATGGGTCAAACTTTGTTGTTTTCTGTAGGAAATTTGAGTGAAGATGTAGAACAATTTCGGGCGAATCTCTTAGAAATTTTCAGCGAGAGCCTTAGCTGCGAGGTGTTAGATTTTCGTAGTTACAGAAACAGAAGAGTTTAGAATTAAGCTGAACTTCATGAAAATCGAATTGATAAGAAGACAGTTAAAAGATATATCAGATGCTTATGCCAAACAAACGAACAATGAACTTAAGAAGATAAAAGATGAAAGGTATATGTCATCTCATTTCAGGAAAAGCACTTAAAGACTTCAGAAGAAGCAAAAAAATGAAGCTGAAAAAACGAAGACTTGAGTTTCTTAGTTGGTGATGTGCAGATTGAACGAGATGAAAATACTAAAATTAATTGTCGTTTGAATTTTTTGTTTTCTCTTTACGAGTAGTTTTGTATTTGTGACTAACGTGTAGTCGCAAACATAGCGAAAATGTTTTGCTCACAAATTCTTTCGTCACTAAAGGAAGGAAGAAAAATCACAATCAATTAATCTTCCAATGTATGGGCGGATCTAGAATTTTCTTGTGGGGGGACTTTGAAAAAATTTGGTTCATCTTCTTTAAGACGACCGAATTGATCTTCCCGAATCAAAATTTCAGAAAAAATGAGTAAAAATGCCATTTTTGGGAACGTTTTTGAATGTTTGACCAAAGAATTGCGTTTTTTTTCGCGCGCGCTCCCCATTGAAATTAGTTGAAGCTTTTGAATGACGAGTGGTCGAACTTCGTCAAAATCCGCCCCTGTTAGAATGTATTCAACATATGTTTGACATAATTTGAAATCTGAAATCTTATAGCATTGGGCTCTCAATACATTGGGATTATAGTTATTAATGTTAACTGAGTTTGACCATAAGTTGAATATGTAGGCAAACAGTTTCGAAACTGGGAAACTCGAACGGTATCCACGTAGATTTCAAGCTGCATAGGGATTAAAGGGATCAAAATGCTCTATTTCTTGGGCACAGAAATTAATTTGAGATCTGAATAAAGTTTCTGACTTTCCATAAATTGTTTTTCCTTTAGAGCTATAAAATGTCTGCGATAAACGAAGCTTGTTAAAATTTCAAGCACATAAACACAAGCATAGTGTTTTTGTATCATAATTCTTATTTCAAAAACAATTTATACGTATTCATTGCAAAAAATTTTTTTAAATTTATTCTTTTGAATTATTCTTCAAATTATTCTTCAGAATAATTATTCTTCAAATTGATACTCTAACATGGCAGAATCCAAACCTGAGAAGTTTTTCTATTCATTTTTAACTTTTGCATTAACAATTTATATGTCGGAACAAGCGATGAACACAGCGCGTGTTGTTTTGTCTGGTGGATCGGAACTTTCTCTGAATACCATCATCGGAAGGGAGATTACCTTCCCCACAGGGAAAATAGTGCGAGAGTTTCTAGGAATACCGTACGCACAGCCACCTATTAGGCAGTTTAGATTCAGGTGAGAGGGTTCAAATCTGAGCAGGATCTGTTTTATTTTTAAACGGGAATTATTCTGTTTCAAATAATATTGTCGACCTATTATTTGTCTGCTTATCTGTTGTCGGCTTAGCTGTCACATCTTTGAATCGTTTTTTTTTGCTGCGCTGATTTGTAATTTTACTTTCCTTGGCTTCGTATGTCCTATGATTTTTTTCTTAAAAAAAGTTCCTCGGCCCAAAATATGTCGGCCTTTTTTCATCGGCTTACTGACTCAATTTTGAGTCTCTCCAAAAGAAAAACAATTTCTACATTCCTCTTCGCAGTTATCAAATTCCTTGTTTATTTACCAATCGGGTTTGTTGAAATATCGTTTTTTTTTTCGTTTAGAAATGTTTTTGACCTTTTGCAAAAAATTTCAGTTTTGCTCAGAAACTACTGATTTTCAAAAAAAAATGAAATTAACTGAAAGACCGCCTTTTTCACTATGTGCCTGTATACTCCCTTAGAGTCCCTTTTTACTTGACTCCTCTGTCTACAGCTTTCGAAAATGTCTGTGAGGGAATATTTTGATTTTTTGATTTTTTTTTCGTTATCTTGAAACCTACTCTTTAAATCTGAGTTTTTGTTTTCAATAACTAGAACTGTTTTGAAAAGCTGGAACGCTCCCCTGCATAAGCGGCTGCTCCCAATTTTTTTAAAAATTATGGTCCTGGGAATAGTAAATTTTTTGATTGTTTTAACCTTGAATTTTCTCGAGAACTACCCTGCCAAAGCTGACTATTTGGGTCCATATCAAAGAACGGGTTGTGAAAAGCTCATTTGCTTTTGCGACTACGCCAAAAAATTTTTGACACCAATACTTATGGCCCATGGAAAAGTTTTCGGTTTCAATCGAACTTACATGATGCTCAAATCACTTCTGCTAAAGCGGCTACCCCCTATTTTTTCACACAAAAAGCTATGATTTTCGGAAATAACAAACTTTTGATCAATTGACTGTTTTTTGCTCTTTTCTCGCTAACTATCCTGCTAAATCTGATATCATAGGTTTAATCGAAACAGCAGCTTGTTGATAGCCTACCATTATAAATAGCTATGTCCAGTTTGTTTGAGAAAAAAGTTAATACCTTCAAGTTTTGAAAGTTTGACAGTTTTTTGAAATTTGTTGACTTTTCGCGAAAACTACAGTGCCAATTCTCAGGTTGTGTTCGATCAAGAAACCGGAGTTTGTAAATTTTCTCTGCTTAAGCGGCCATAACCTGCCTTTGCCGAAAAAAGCTATGGATTTTGGAAAGTCCTGTGACTGTTTTTTGAAAACTTTTTGATCATTATTTTTTTTGAAACTTATTGAATTTTTCTTAAATTTACCGATTTAATTCTGAGATAAAAAAATTCAATTGAACGAAACGATTGCGATAGTTGTTCCTGCAGAAGCTGCGGCTCTTAAGTTTTTCGTAAGAGAAATGTAATCTCCTTGGGAAAATTTATCTCAAAAATTTTTACTCCAACTTATTTTTGTAGTGATACAACAATTTTTGAAACCACACTTTTTGAGCCGCATCAGTATAGTAAAGCATTCATAAGCAAACACGTACCTCCTGTTTCAGCTGGGCGCCTAGTTGTTTTTGTCGAGACGCACGAAAATTTTGGTTCACCTAGATTTTTTCAACATGTAAAAATTTTTTGTCTTATGTTTTCTTTGTTTGTTGTATCGCTAGTAGTGCAAAGCTCCACTTCGCCTCTGTGTACGTAATTATCATATTAGTTTGAATGTTTGGCTTATCGGGTGTTTGACATATCGGTTGTTTGCCCTAGACCTTTTTTAAATCTAGTTTTTAATTGGATGAAAAGAAATGATAACAGTAAAGATAAGCGAAGACATGCTTCGTTACCTGTGTGACATAATGATGAAAGATGTTTTAAAACAACTGCGTTCTAGTTTTTAATCAAAGGAAATGAAATAACGATAAAACAGCGAATGAACATGAAAAAAAATAAAATAATTAATCAAAGATTATGGAAAAAAGAACTCAATGTTATGTATTTATTTTTGTTTATAATTCGAGCGATAAAATGGAAAATTAAGCTCATTTTTCGTTCTCTTGAGTATTTTAACGCTTTAACATACAGATTTTTGTTAGCTGTGTTTAATTTTTGAAAACGAATTATCTCCGAAAACGAAAACTTCCACAGGACCCATTAAATAAATATCCATTCATTTAAAAAAGTTTGATACTAGATTTATTTTGATACTGATACATTTTTGATACTAGAGTGTTTCTGAGACTGATTCATTTTTGATACTAGAGTTGTTTTACCTATTTATATGAAATGACTTTTTATCAGCCATTTTTCATAGAAGAATGCACAGAAATCCAGAAAGAATGACCAGAAAGAGTGATAGATTAGCGTCTTTTCCCGGCCCAATTTTGAGTTCTCAGAGATATCTCGATTAATTCTGGCATAATAATAAAGCCCAACTGTTTGTTATTCAGATTTCCAAATCAAATTCAGGTAGTTTTGGCTGGTTTTGGGTACGTTAAGTTTTTTTCCGATGCCATTTTCTCATTCTATTGTCCTGGCGTATTATTTTTTGAAAGTTAGCTGGATTCATTATGATAGATTTAGTTTTTTCGACATTTTATTTTTCGACTAGCGACATTCTTGTATTGAATCAAAAGTGATGGGAAGCTGCGCTTCGCCTCTGTTCTAAAATATATTATTGATAGTATCAGGCCGCGAGTTTTTTAATAAGCGCTAAACTAAAACAGCTGCGAACTGGCATTGCTGGAAGTTTTAAACCCGCGAAAATCGACCGAACGCAAAATTACGGAACACGATAATTTCATTTAAACCGGAAATCAGTTGAACCTCGAAATTTTAACGATAATGCCCCATGCTCGACTAATTCTAAAAATATAAAGCATTTGAGCAATAGTGTTACACCCAAAAGTCACAGTCGCCATCTTGGTTCAGTCCATAAAAGACGACATTTCACACCAATTAGTCGTAACCACTAAAGAAATCTAGTCCGAACTGCACAACGCTGGTGCATCTTATAAAAGCAAGATTTTTAGTTTAATTTAAATTTTTTAAGATTATACAGTGGAAAAACAACACCAGTGCCTTATTTTGTTCGGCGACACTAAACTGATATGCGTGATTGAAGTTTTTGTTCGGCTGCTGGCACGGTCAAAGTGACTTCCCTCAGTGCTTTCATCATTTTCAATGCAAATATAAAATGCTCTATGGAATTGCTCTTCCGTGCATATATGCGTTTCTACCAAACCAAATGGAAAAAAAAGACATACAATATCCTCCTGGAACCACTGAAGTTGTCAGCTCCCTACAGAAGACCCAAACAGATTATGACCAGACCGCTATTCAAGTTTTTTCCAGAAATTTATGATTATTCATAGTTATCTTGATGTGTCTCCGATAGTTACCAAACTACATGCAAAAATGATGAAATATTTTGAAAAAAGTAGCCTGAACGAGTCTTAAAAAGAACACGGAGAAAACCATGAAATTTATTTGGGACTTAAATTGTTACTCACCCTGTTTCTAGATGAAAAAAAAAAATTGGAAAATCTTCTGATAAATTAACCGAGGAAGGTAGGATAGTATGTGACCGTACCCCCAAAAAGTTGAGTTCGCGAACTTTTTTATAACAGCTTTGATCTTTAACGACGCTATGATTGTGTTCTCTTTCAAGCAAGTGTCGCGTTGATTCTATTTTCTAAAGTAGTTTGACGATGAATTTCGAGGGGCTGAGAAAAATGAGATTAAAAAACTTTGAGTCCTTAAGTAGGAAGCCCAAATTTGATTGCATTGAGTTGTAAAATCTTGTTTAAAAAAACAATACCTTAACGATCAAGCGCTGGTTGGTTTTCTTACCGTATGGGTAGGTTTAAACATGACACGAACGCAATAAATTTAATTTGTTGCATAGACGTTTTACTTAAAACCATGGTTTGCATAGTTTTCATATGGTTTACTTAAAACCAATAGTATAATTGAAATATAACAGTCCTAAATATTACATATTAAAAATTGCACGTTGACCGCTGTTGTTTTTTGTGAACTTTGAGTTACTTAAAAGCTGACCCTGATATTTCCGTCATAGTTTGCATTTACCGAGTTTAGTGGCCACCGAAATTTCGCATTCAAAAGTTAAAATATATTTTAAGGATCTCGTTTCCATATGGAAACCTAGGAGCTTACTTCAACGCGACGTCAATGCGTCCGCCTTGCGTCCAAACCGCCGACCCCGAATCAAAGAACCCTTCCCACGAAGACTGTTTGTACCTTAACATCTGGGCACCTAACGATCTCTTCAAATACGGCGCTGGATACCCTATTTTGGTCGCTTTCATTAGTGGGGGTTTTGACGGAACCAATCAAAACGACAAGCTGTTCAATGGACTCAAGTTAGCAGAATCGCAAGATATTATAGTCGTTACAGTTAGCTACAGAGTCGGTCTTTTCGGATTTCTGAGACTAGATAATAATGAGATTCCAGGAAATTTTGGACTCTATGACCAGAAATTGGCTCTCGAATGGATAACAGCTAACATAAATGACTTCGGCGGCGATAGAAGCAGGATTACGTTGCTAGGCAACGGGGCTAGTGCGGCTACTATTGGGTATCTGTTGCTTAGCAACGCAATTGGTAACCTCTTCAAGTGGGCTATTATGCATGGAGGATCCCCCTTATCTCCGTGGGCTTATGTGGAACCCGCTCAGGCGGAGAAAAGAGCATTGAAAGTCGCTTTGTTGGTTTGTATTCAGAAGAAAGTGTCAAAAATATGCTCAAGAATATTTTCAAAATCCAATAGCAAGTGAATTTTTGTCGAACGAATGAAGAAGAAGTTAATAAAAGATAAAAAGGGGGTCTTACGTCAAATACAAACCTAAAAATTATGTTTTTAAAGTTTTATCTAAGGAAAAATGGGAGTAAACTGCTGCGCCTTCGTTCCGGAATTGTGTCTGTTTGACGTTCTTTTTTGAAGTAAACAAAAACACGTGCATTAATTATAGCAGCTGGCAAATATGCTAATATGCAAATATTAATCTCATTTCAATTGGGATTTACAATTTGATTTTTGATAAATTGTTTTTGAAGCCAAGTAGGTTTGCAGGTGGGCTGTAACATCGACAGACCCTCCTCCGAGATATCCGACTGTCTCCGGTCAGCTGAAAGTGGGAAACTACTGGCTGCTTCCCAGAGGATAGCCCAGTCCTCCTACTACCAATACGTGTTCGCCCCCACCCAGGACGGAATCATAATTGGACAGAGTCCGGAGGTGTTGCTGAGAAATGGCTACAACAAGAAGACAGAAGTCATGATAGGTTAGTACCGTACTACGAAATCTCTTAAAAAGACAACTCGAAAACATAAAAGACCTTCGCCACTACTTGTCAAGGCGGGATTTAAATTAATTTTCATTTTTGCGAATTGTCGCTTTCCTTGGATTTAGTGAGTAATCCCTTTTTGCGAGGTACTTAAAATTCAGAAAGCAAGCTAATTCAAGGTATTTATCAGACATAACGGAAATTGAAAAATCGAAAATCACCGAATCGTTGAAATCAAAACTGAGTTAAGTTGAAAAAAAAATAGTCGGACATCTACAACTTTTTCCAGTCAGTTATAAAGTTGCTAAAATTGAACCTCTCTACGAAGAAGGCAAAGAACTGGACCCATCAAAATACAGGCCATTTTCTCTACTACCAACTTTGAGTAAAATTTCTGAGCGGGTCATTTATAATCGAATGAATAAATATCTCACTAGGAATCAACTTTGAATTCTTATTAAAATTCATTTTTGGATTCATATTCAGTTTGGATTTATAAAAAAAAGGACAATTTAAGTTTAATAACCATAATTGAAGAAGCGCGTCAAGTCTGGGACTCTAAGGCCACGATGGCACGGTGCGCTTTCATTGATCTTAAAAAAGCCTTTGATACAGTTTATCGCATGCTTTATGTGGTAACTAACTGAACCTCTAAGGTTTTATAAGGAAAACTGAATTGGTTTCAAAGGATTAATTTAACCGTTGAACCATATTGTTTTTCTTTTGTTAGTTTCCGATTTGTTGACTGTGTACGGATACACAGATCTGAGAGAGAATGACTCTCTATCTTTGCAATAAAGGTCGTGTAGAGTTGACCTTGGTTATTTATAATAATGTACTATAATTTACAGATAACAATATGAATAGCACGTTCAAGGCCACTGTATGATTACTGCATGGTTACTGCAATTGCAGTAGCAGTTGCGGTACCACATACCCCCTCGGCCAAGAAAAATTTTATAATACGTTATCAAATTTTTAATAATAATAATGAATAGGAGTTTTAATACTCAGTTTAAGGAGTTTTATTCTTTTTCGCACTGATTTATAATCACTTTCCCTCTCTTTCCTCGTGTTCTTCTTCGAAATTTAGTGGGACTCGCCACTCCGCGTTCCATGATCGGTTTATGTTGAGAGCCTCGCCGCCAAACTTTCTTCGGAAAAGGTGCTTCTCAAGCAGACCAAATTTGGTTTCCACCGAATTCGACGCCCCGGGTCTGAAGTTTGCTAACTTAACTCGGTACGCTTCAAGTGCGGCTCGATTTAAATCTAATAGATCGTTTTCATACGAGATTGCCTTCACCGAATGCTTAATCGGATTTCCGTATCTGGTTGGCCCCTTCTTGGCTCTTCCGCTTTTACGGACCGATGTTTCCTCAACTTCTGATTCATCCGAGAACCCCGGAGGATTCATAGATTCATCTTCGACATCCGCGTCCTCTTTAGATTGCAAAATCTCTGCCGCCGTGCGTTGTACTCCGCGTTTGAGTACTTGGTCAGCTAACCGATTCCAGTCATTTGCCGATAGATCTTTACTATTGAATGTGTCGAGGATTGTTTCGGGAGATGTATTTCGTGAGATTTCTTTCTTGTTTCTCGTATTGCAGTGTGTATTTGGTACGTCTCCCGAATTTGGTACGTCTCTTGTGTTGGACGAGCACGCCGGATCTTCCGCTTGAGGTTCTTGCACTTCTGCTGCCGTCGCAGCATTTTTAGTTTGAACAGTGCTTTGTTGAGCATCTTTTGGGTTTACGCCCACCTTTGCCTTGAATTTTGAGACGAATGGGCCAGCCAGGTTTGGCTTTGCTCTTCGAACTGCTAGATTTAGTCCACTGCCTTGCAGAATGTCTTTTGACGTGACCACCGACGGGCTGTCCTGAAATTTCAGCTTTGCATCAAATGGATCTATGCTTTGCTGCTCTAGCAGTAATTCCTCGTCCGACTGACTAATTTCGGCCTCATCCTGTTCGTTGGCCTGTCGCTTCGATTGCCTCTGCTGCTTATTCTTAGGCTCTTCTCCTGTTGGGGAACTCCTGTTGTTGCTTTTCTCTTTATCTGGAATAGCAACCTTAACTTTAGCGACGTCACTCTTTCGGTAAATGGACCCTGCTGCTGTTTTGACAGTGGAGGGCGTTTCGGACACGACTCGTCCTTTCAATGGCTTCATAAGGGCTTTACCACTTTTCCTCCCCTCGTCCTTTCTAATCAGGATTGGTGACGACTGGCGTTGATTGACGATGGTTTCTGGCTTGTCCTCAATGAACCCACGTTTCCACGAATACAGCATTTCCTTGCGCAATTCGGGGTTAATGGTACTCGTCTCGTCCACCGTACGCCTTAGGTCATTAGCAGATGTATCGCGGCGTGTTTGATTCCATCTGGCGTTGGCTTCTAGAAGCTCTTTCAGGGCCCGCGCTCTTGCCCGATCCTTTGCCATGTCTTCTTGTTGCTTGAATATTATACTCACGTCTCGGCTATTTTGTCCTTTTCGGACAATCTTTAGATTATCGCGAGACTGGTTGATTCGCTTTTTAAGTTGGGAGGCCGTCAGAGCTGAACGTTTCAGATGTTCCTTATCTAAACGATCAGAGTTTCGTAAAAACTTATCACTGAGAATTTTAAATTCTGTTTTTGGCAATCTCCCGAAATGAGCCTCAAATGGCGACATTTTAATTGTCTTCTGTTTACTCCAACGGAGGTCACGAAGTATCGTACTAAGGCATAGTTTTATTGATGTTACGTTTTCATCGAGTAACATTACTCCCAACCTTCTTTTGATAGTTTGTATAGTGCGTTCCACTAAACCGCGTCCGCGATGGTCTCCCACTGGACAAAATTTTTGTTCAATGTTATTGTCGGAACAAAATTTTCTCATTGATTTGCCCTTAAACCCGGAAAATTGGTCCGTTCTAACTGATTCGGGTATCCCATGTATATCAATATATGAGCGAAGAAATTTTATCGATGACTTTCCCCCTGTTGATTTAGTGATTTTCACTGACGGAAATTTTGAATACCTATTGATTGCTACCAACAGATAAATTTTTTTCCTTTGTAATCTTCAAGTGGACCCGCGTAGTCTAACTGAACTTCTTGACCTGGCTGCGTTAGCAGTGGAAGGGGCTTTGTAGCATTTTTTGGTATGATGTATTTTGCATTTTTACCGTAGCGGGTGCAGCTTCTGCATTCCTCTGCAAGATTGACGATATCCTTGTGCATGTGCGGCCACCACAGGTATTTCGACACATTCAGCATCGCTTCCTGGCCTGGGTGACCGCGGTGGATCCTCTTCAGCACCGCCAAACGCAATTGTTCCGGAACAGCTAGTCGGTTGTCAACCAGTATACAGTCGTCCACGACTGAGAGTTGATGCCAGAGAGGATTAGTATACGGGCCCATCAACTCGAAGCTGTATCGGTCATTCCTCTCAATCACCCGCCGCAATCTATCCATCCAAACGTCCTCTGATATCAGTTCCGCTAAGAGGCTTCTATCACACAGCTTGGTGAGGTTGTCCAGGCAGATTTCTGTACTCATATCTCTTTGATGCGATCTGCTTCTTCTGGAATTGTGACCTGTTTTGTCTTTATTAATTATGCTGACTTCTGGAGTTTCCGGAGGGCTTTCAGCTGTAAGGTCCACTTCAATGATTTGGGGAATTCCTCTCTGGGTATTGAATTCCAATGATTGGTCACTTCTGTTCAGATCGTCCAGGACTGTTCGTGCTTCTAATTCTAGTAAGCTTTTTGGGTTGTTTGGTTTTTCTGCCCCCATGAGATCCCAAAATGACATCAGAGTTGTTTCACTATTTCCTGCTGCATTTCCGGATGTGATTTCCTTGCATCCTTTAGACTTGACTGGTTTTCTTACTGTCCTCCACTCAACCTGGGGTACATCTGACTCGGAATCGTCTGACTCTTGCCTACTGCACGCAGCACCTCTCTTCACCATCCTTGTTCGGGAGAAGGTGGTTTCCGTCACTTGTTCTGTTAGTTCGTTTTCCCTCCGATTTTCATCCTGTCTGTTTGACGTTTTCTTTGATTTTCCTGAATTGCTTTTTTCCATTTTGTCTTCCAACGCCGCCTTTGTGAAAACTGCTGATTGTTTTGAATTCGAGATATCTTTTTGTTTGATAGAAATTGTATTAAATTTTGATTTATCGACCAAATGTTTCTCACGAGCTAATTTGTCCAATGTGTTTTTCGTGTTTTTCTGGTTCTGATCTGTTTGAAAACTTGAGTTTTGACCGTTTTCGTTCCGGTCGAGCTTTGTCCGGTTTTGAACAAATTGGTTGTCATAGCAACCGCGTGATGAGCTGTTTTTACAGTAGTTAGTTTCTCTTGTTATTCTAGAATGTTCTAGAATGTTGATAGCACTATTTTGATTTGTTTCACTAAGCCGACTGCTTAAACAGTCGAGTGCTTTATGGAAACTTTCAATAGACGTCACTAGAAATCTCTCATCCAGTTCCGATTCCGGCCATGGTTCCCTTGACAAATAATCAACAATACCCATATCCCTTCCTGGAATATGAGTAATTGTAAATTGATAAGGTAGTAATCGGTCAACCCACCTGGTTAGTCGAGATTGATACGTTTTATTAGATCTATGTTCCCCCAAAGCAGATGTTAACGCCTTATGATCAGTTGCTATCACAAATTCTTTCCCCAGTAAATAGTGTTTGAAACGATCTACCGCCCAAACTACTGCTAACAGTTCAAGTTCATTGGTAGAATATTTTTGTTCTTGGGAATTTAGATACCGGGATGCAAATGCAATCGGTATCCACTCGTTTTGATGAGACCATTGTTCCAGAGTAGCCCCTAGACCGCTATGACTTGCATCGCACTTTATTCTAGTTTGCTTTAATGGATCGTAATAGTTTAATAAAGCGATATTAGCAACTGCCTTTTTGATATCCTCAAAAGGGGTCTAGGACAACAAGCCGACGGGACTTCAAGCCGAAGGGACTTCAAGCCGAAATTAAAACTTTACAA